TGTGTGTGAGTATGCATTTATTTTTTTTTTATCTCTGTGCTCCTGACGTAACACTGGATCTTCTGCTTTAGCTTTTTCTTTACAAGAGTTATGGGCCCACACATATCTGTCTGATTCTCCTCTCAATGGTTTATATCTGACAGAAGGCTGGCAAGGTTTAAAGGTACAACACATGGAAGCTCAAAGAAAACTTGACTAGCATACTGCCGGCTATCAAAATTATCTGCATGCATTCCTAAAGGTTGATGAGTAGCCCTCTTTTTATTTATTTTTCATTTTTTAGATGCAAACTTTTTCAAATATATTTTTAAATTTATTTTTCCCCATCACCATTTATTTTCTCTATGCCCTCTTCCCCTTCCCCCCTTCCCCGAACAATCACCACACTATTATCCATGAGTTCTCTCTCTCTTTCTTCTTTTTGATCAATCCCTCCAATACCACCAACAACACCCCCCCAACACACACACACACACACACACACACACACACACACACACACCAGAGCTGTCTGCCTGCTCTCTGAGTAAGCCAATCAGAAAAAGACAAGTACCATATGATTTCATTCATATTTGAAATTTAATGAACAAACTGAACTACCAAGCAAAATAGCCTTCTTTTTTACAATGACCTCTTTTCATAGAGTATTTTGAAGGAAATAGGATGTTGTATAGGGATGTTTACTAGGCTTACGGTTTTAATTTTAGAATCTGTATATTTAGCTATTACTTAACTTCATAAAAATACCAGCTACTTGAAACATATCTACAGTGCTTGGGAACCACCAAATATGGGATGAAAACAATGGCAACTGGGCAGAGTGGATAAGGAGGAGGGGGGTGTCTAAGAACCATGGTGTGGTGCAGAACTTGGTGTGTTCTGGGTGCCTACTTTGCCCTCATCACTCCTCTTGAAACATAGGTTCTGTTTTTTCATTAATACTAGGCCCTTTGTTCATTTTTGATGGATGATGGATGTTTGATTCACTGGAGATTATTTACCCAGACCATATCCACTTTATTCAATTGGACCAGATGGGCGACATTTCTTTATGGGTTTTCTTAACATCTCACTGAAGCTGAACGTAAGGTAAGACCAAGCTTCATACATGAAAGGACTTTGAGTTGCTTATATTGAGTATAGCACAAGAGGAAAACACTTATGGGAAAGAAAACCCTGCAGGAAATATAGGAACATCCAAGAGTAAAACAATGGAAGAGGTTAGAAGAAGGGATGCAATTCATCTATTGAGATAAATTAATATATAATAGATCACGATATTTTTAATTGGGCATTAACACTCAGTACTTTGTCTTGGGAAAATACATCAGGGCTATTTCCTAGTGTCCTTTGTCCTTAGCACTGAAGCACTGGCACTAGGAGACTCCAACACGTCACAACCTGTGTCCTGGTCAAGCCACAGTGAGCTGTCCCTCCTTCAGGGGCACAAAGAGGGTCTTGGAAAGAGCAAATTTGCATGAGACTTGAGAAAAAAATACTCTTTTCAGAATTACCTCAGGAAAACACCAAGAAATGGCAAAAATTACCTAATGTGGGCTTGCACACCCACCATGCTCTTTTTACTTGTTCAAAACCAATGTTGGTAATTTGTTCTCTGTGATTTGAAAGGCCTGCCAGTCTTGAGCCATTCTTTCCAGTTATTGGAGGGCCCATTCCATGGCCGGATGTGATTGCAACCCGAACCACCACTGCAGCCCTTGGAAGCAGGCACTCAGCTTTTACTGAGAAAGCACAGCTACACTCTCAGTCCCGTCCTAGGATAAGTCTTCTTGGCATTCATAAAATGAACATCCCATCCTTCTCTAGATGAATGGCATGTTCTCCTTATGAGTGCCACTGCGTGACCCTCATGTATGGGAGCCAGGCTGAGGGGCCCTTAGAGCCAAGGTTTCATTGTGAGGAACAGCAATGTTTTGTTGCTAAGGAAACAAGGGTATTCAGGGCAACATAGGAGCTACATTACATGTGGAAAATATTAATGACAGAAATGATTTGTGAAACAAGGCCAGAATCACTTTTTTTAAATTATTATTTATCACACGCTATTTTTTTCCCCTTTTGTTCTTTGGCCACCTTGACTGCAAACCCTCTGATGAAGAAAATCCAACCACAAGAGCAATAGAACGGGATTGTAGTTCCTGAGAGAGACCATTCATAAATTTAAAGGCGCAGGCAGGCCCCATCTAGAAACTTTCAGGGAATATTCATAAATGTTGCAGATCTAAAGGTATCTATTTTAAGGTCTTGTAAGAAACCAAGTATTTGAAAGAGCACATTGCTGGGGGGTTTTCCCCCACACAATTCTCTTCCTTCTTTTCCTTCATTTCCAGATAAATATTATAACCAAGTAGGAAGGCACCCCTTAACAGACTGTTGTTTCCAGCCAGAGTACATTAGAACTGGACACACATGCATATTCCATACTGTCCAAAAGAAATGCATTGGCCTCAGGTTGACTATTCTGGAAATTGAGCAATTTTCTTAAGGGGATAAATATAATGTGGTGGTTAAGAGCAGACTGGCTGGGTTTGAATCCTGACTCTGTCCCTTACTCACTGTGTAGACTTGGACCCGTTGCTTAAACTCTCTGTGCCTAATCTGTACCTACACTCTCTTGCCTCAAAAGGTGGTATTATGTTAAATGAGAATTTAGAACTTTATCTGTCCTTAGAAAATAATCAGTAAATAAGTGTTATCTATTATTATAGAAGTTCTCAAATAAATAATCCTCTCTCTGTCCATTAGAAAATACAGAATTACTGGATTTTAGGGACTTTTTTTGCAAAAATTGCAATAGCAATTTCTTAACATTTTGTAATAGAATGGTAATGGATGAAATGTTACTGTAAAACATAACATTATTTTTAGATTGAGGATAAAATAGTTCAAGTCTGTAAGATTTAGAAGTACATTCTGGGATGGGAAATGAAACTATTCCCTGAAACCTGACTATTAATACGATACACTTATACATGTATAAAATTTTAAAAATAACAAAATCAATGTGAACATGCATCTCTGGTTGACAGATCCAAAGAGAAGTGGAAATTAGTAATAACATCAAAGACCACTACATTTGTGACCAGAAATATAGCTAGAAGGAAAAATATAGCTCATTCTCACCTTACTTCCTGCCAACAACTTTGAACATGCTTTAGAAATTGCCATCTTTTCAAGTGACAATGAACTGTGTTCGCCTGGCAGTGAAATTTGTAATTAACATCAAAGTGGCAATTTTATGTTATATATCTTTTACTACAATTAAAAAAAAATTTTAAGAGACACCCTTGGAAAACTGATAAAGTCCTCAAATACTTTGAAACAACACTCCTTTTATGACATTGTTGTGAAAGTCAAGCATGAAATGTTTTTATGTCAGAACTTTACAAGTTCTCCCAAATACTTGACTATTTATTTATTCTTTCAAAGAATTAATGTATGGTTGGAATGAAAAGCTAAATTTTGTTGAAATGAATTTATTTAGAAAGGAAAACCTAAGTAGTAATTGTAGGAGACACAACAAGACGTGATCAAATGGGCACCTTTTTATGGATTGCCACCAACCATCTCCCAAAGCCACATGCCTGCTCCCAACCCACCACTTCCTCCCGGTGCCCCTCACAGCTGATGACCTGGCTCTGCCTCTGCCTCAAGCCAGCCATATGAGCTCCAGACTTTGCTTCCCATTTTCAAAAATGAAAACTTTGGGCCAGTATGATCTCTAATATTCCTTGTGGCTCAAAAATTCTGTAATTCTATTACTGTTGCAAATTCCAGCCCTGACCCCTGATTTAAAGCCTCTCACAAACATGTGAAAATTATCATCTTAGGTAAAAAAGAATCCTAGAAATAAGCATAAACTGTCAAAATATTTTTTTTTCTTGCTGCAGGATTTTACCTACAGCCAAAGCAATTTTATAAAAACCTTCTACTCAGTATTCCAAGAAGCCATTTCTTTCCCCCAGAGAGAATTAATCATAGGCAAGGACTGGAGAAGACACTTCCCCTTGATGAAGTTTGAGCACGCTCCTGCTGAGAAGCCCATTCTATTTTAATTTGCCAATTAAAAGTGGCCTGGGGAATCACACACTGCCATTATCTCATTAAATCACTATACTTGTCACTCCCTTTCCTCTGAAAAAAGAACACTCAAGTAGCTCAACTACTCCCCACAACTTAAATTTAATAGTACTTTTAAAATATTGGTTTTATCTAGGGTCTGTTGGGGACTGCACCTTCTCTGTTATTACCGCCATAAATTCCACGGATCTCCAGTCACTAACTCAATTCCATTTATTGGGTACTTACTATATCCGTGAAATTTACTAAGCATTGAGAAGAATTAAAAAGGAACTAAAAGGCTTGCTTTCAGCAAATCAATGGCCTCGCTCATTAGAAAACAGAGCCTTATAAAGAGTCTCTTAAAGATCCTTCTTATAGCACCTTTTGGTTCTACTTGGCTCTTATTCAACCCTTCCCTATCTATCTTGACTGATTTTCTGTGGAATGACATTACAAGCATGGTATGGCCCTGTTTAAAAAAACACCAAAAAAAAAAAAAAGCTTGATTTCTTTTGGTATAACAGCTGTAAAATCTCTTCCTTTATAAGCTGTATATTGAGTTGAATTATATGTGCGAAGTAGGCATTTGAGTTGAATCACTTGTTACTACTTATCAGTTTCTAGTGAGCCATATAATAACTAAATGGCAGAAGTAAAAAAGGAAACACTGCAAAGATTCTAATGGCTTATTTTTAATAATGCTCCTTTGAATAATATAATAATAAATTATAAAACTATGTCAGTGATTTCCTACGTGTACTTGAACATGATTCGGCGCATACACCTGCAAGTTATTTTGTATTTCCAAAGATACTTCCTCAAAGAGTCCATTGACTTCTGCCTAATAAAAACATGCATTACCATGGCTCACTAGGAGAAAGACACTCTGCCTGTCTTTAACCAAGGAATAGGATTACCTTATTGCCTTGAAATCCTTTCGGGCCTGGGTCCCCTGGAGGTCCACTAATGCCCTGCTCCAAGATGAAAACCAAGAATTAGTTCTGTGTACAAAAGGCCCATCAGGAATGAATCATTTGTTCAGGTCCCTAGAGATGCCAGAGTTAGAATTCAGACTATAACTCAGTTAAGTTGTAGTTACATGGGATTGAGAAATGGAATGAGGTGAAATTCTTCATGTCAAATAAGTATCTTCTAAAATAGTACTTCAGCTGAGAGCAAACATTTATTAATGAGAGGCTGGTTTTCTAAACCTGTGTTTCCAACCTTATTCCTGACCTGGATCTCTTTTTTGAAAGATTTCAAATAAACAACTTTTTAAAAATATATCTAAGGCATATATAACTGAAAGTTGCAACTTCAATGACCCTCTGATAGCTAGAGTGACTATCCTACCCTGACACAATTCCAGGCTAAAACAAAGGAGTTGATGGTTAACTAGATATTGGCTAGAAAATCTTGGGTAAAAGTATAATTTTCAATAGACTTTTTGAAATACTGAAATTAACTCTTCTCACACATACCCTCCCCCCATTATAACTGTAGATGAGGCAAGTTCACAGACTAGAAAAAAAATCAGCCATATTATTTTTTGAAATCTATATATGTCTAACCTAAATAAATGCCTTAAAGAATCATTGCATGTTATTGAGCATCAACTACTTATAGTGGCAAAACAATACAAATACTTAATTTAGAGAAAATGCATAGCTCCTCCAACTATATTATAGTAGCACTGCAAAAACCAGTTACATTTTGTTTTTAACTACTTTGATTTTATCCGTCTTCCTAGATGCTAATTTTTAAACTTTTATCCCTTCAACTAGTCATTAAATAGACTCCCCTGCTGGTACCTATCTTTAGGGAGCCTGAATTGGTTAATAAAACATTAAGGTAGTGGTTTCCAAAACTTGGTTGCACATTGAAATCGCTTGGGGATCTTTAAAAATATTGAAGCCTAGCTCCAATTCCAGCCATTCTGATTGAATTGGTAGAGGGTGCAAGTGAGAAAAGGGATTTTAAAAAGCACCTTAGGTGATTCTAGGGTAGACTTAGATTTGGTATTAGCCTCCTTACCTGAGGTCCTCTGGGTCCTTTTGATCCATATGGCCCGGGGGATCCCTGTGGAATAAAATTGATGATAAGTCACTCTAAATATCCATCTTCAAAGTGCAATGACTTTAGGTGGAAGAGAGGGAATATGTTCTCTGTAAGGGCCAGTCTTCCCTGGTTATCCAAACATTAAAACCAACATGTTCATTGTTAACGAAATGATCGTAATTAACAAGTCAAATGGAGGTCACATTGTCCTTTAGCAAACAAACTCCATGAAAACATAATTTTAGATGTAAGTTCTTGGCCTATATATTGATATTTTTATCAAAGTAAGTGATTTCTTAAGATTCTTTAGAAAGCAGTAAGCTTGGTAGAATATTGTGTGTTTTTTTTCAACAAGGTAATGGCAGTTAAATTAATTTAGTGAGTTTCTCCAATGTCTAGTTTCTCCCACCTTCAAGACATGAAACTTGGCAAAACACTGTTTGTACTCAACACTCTTCTAACAGAAAATATTTCAGTATGCTCCATAACTAAAAAACCCCTTAAAGGTTTATTTTTATTAAAGTAAAATATAGTCTAATCTCTTTTTTTTCAGATTTCAACTTTTTTCTGCTTTTGTTGTGTATGTGTCCCTTCACACTGATATTAACATATTTTCATCCAATTTTATTCCCAATAGATTTTTCTTCAAATAATTTGATCAGAGTATATATACAATTTTATGTCTTATTTATTTGACCTTCTGTTTTATCAAAAATATTTTTCATGTTATTAAGAACTCTTCATAACGTGAATAATATTCAAGAATATAAATCAGCCCTAGCCAGTTTGGCTCAGTGGATAAAGCATCAGCCTGCAGACTGAAGAATCCTGGGTTCGATTTCAGTCAAGAGCACATCCCAGGTTTCTGGCTCTATCCCCAGGACGGGGTGTGCAGGAGGCAGTTGATCAGTGATTCTCTCTCATCATTGATGTTTCTATCTCTCTCTCCCTCTCCCTTCCTCTCTGAAATAGATAAAAATATATTTTTTAAAAAGAATATAAATCAATCATGATTTACTTAGTCATTTCCCTAATGTGGACATTTAAATTCATATTGGTGATTACTATTTAAATAATGCTATCATGAACATGTTTGTATATACCAGTACATATTGTCCAACTTCTGACTCATTCCTAAGGATAATTTCCTAGAAAGGATGCCTGATGCAGAGATAGACAATAAGCACATTTACAATTCTCTCTCAACTCTCTCTTGCCTCTCACACTTTTTATGGGGAGAAAATATGAAACTTTTATCCATAAAGTTTGTTCAGGTTTCCATTTTCACTACCTGAGTAGAGAAAGCATATCTTCATCTCATAAAATCCCCATCAACTCCAAGTATATATTACTTTAGTGTTTGCTAATTTGGTAGGTAAAATAATATTTTAAGTTTACTTATCTGATTGCAATGCATTGGATAATTTTTTACTTATTAGCCATTTTTATTTTCTCTGATTTTCTGATTCTTTATACATTTTACTTATGAATTATGTGAATTCTTCATATCAGGGACACTGTGTTCCATTGACATCTAGACATGCATTTTTCAAATTTTCACATCTCTGACATTGGGATACATCTTACAATCAATTGCATCTTTATAATTGGAAGTAATTTTTTTCTTTCTTTTTGGCACAAAATATAATAGGGCATTTAACAATCCTTGGCATCTTAGTAAATGAAATATGATATTAACTCTTTATCAATCATTTTTATTTCACATAGTTTTCCCAGTTATTATTTAACTTTCATTTTTGTTTTCTTCTATATGTGTCCTTTATTCTGTATTTCTGAGTCCAGGTCCATCTCCCATTTTTAGTTATCCTCCAGGAAGAATCCACTCATTATTATACTTTCCATTTTGCCCAGAGATAATTACCAAGCCTACATTTTTCAGATCCACCTGACCTTTCACTCTCCAGCATTTTCAAAAGCTTTCAGGAAGTCTCAAGCTATTTAAAGTGTTTAGTTACATGTGCCACTGCCATTATCCTATCCTTTTCTTTTCACCTTCTGCCTCATTCTCTTTCCTTGACTTTCTGCCATAATTAAAATATATATATTGAGTTTGGTATCTTAATGGCATGTTCTTAATAGTTCTTAACTGCAATGAAAACTACTTTACTGTGTGCTTTTTTGACCTTTTATTATTATACTAGAGGCCCGGTGCATGAAAGTCATGCACTGGGGGGGGGGGTAATCCCTCAGCCCGGCCTGCACCCTCTCACAGTCCAGGAGCCCTCGGGGGATGTCTGACTGATGACTTAGGCCCGCTCCCCACAGGAAACCGGCCTAAGCTGGCAGTTAGACATCCTTAGCACTGCCGCGGAAGCAGGAGAGGCTCCCACCACCACTGCGCTCGCCAGTCGTGAGCCTGGTTTCTGGCTGAGTGATGCTCCCCCTGTGGGAGTGCACTGACCACAAGGGGGCAGCTCCTGCATTGAGCATCTTCCCCCTGGTGGTCAGTATGCATCATAGCGACTGGTTGTTCTGCCATTCGGTCGATTTGCATATTAGCCTTTTATTATATAGGATTTTAAATGCACTCTCCATGCATTTCTGGCCCATTAAGGAACTCTTTAACATATTTAATATTGTCTCCAACTTATATACTTTATCCATATTTATCTTTTAATGAAAGGTAAGTACCTATTCAATTGTCCATGGTTTGCTGCATTTTCCAAATTTCAAACCCCTATCTGTGTCTGCTTCTGCCTCATTATTTATAACTATTTTATTAACTTATTTCATAGAGTTCTTTGCTCTGCTTTGGAAAGTGCTTGTTCTCAGTGTTTACATCTGGAAAACAGTTCTACTTGTTCCCAATTGGAGCTTGAATTGACTATTTGCTGGATAAATTATTCTTTCCACTATAACACTCAGTAGGCTTGGCCTCAAAGGTTAGGGTACCACAAAGCAAAGACTTAATGGTCCATAAGAAAGGCATTTGGGGGCACTATTAATTAAAGTTAGGTATGGTTTTATTTTTTGCTTCATGTTTGACTGATCTGAAAATTGAGCCAATGATCTCCAACTCCAGTAGTGAGGTTGACATAATGCATCCCAGAAATTTTCTTTTGTAATTTTTTAATCGTTCAATTGTTGTTGTTTTTTAATAAGTATAGTTGGTATAGATTGGTTATATTAGTTTCAGGTGCACAATGTAGTGAGTCAACATTTTTATACCTTACAATGTGATCACTCCATTAATTCTAGTAATCATCTGTCACCATGTAAACTCATCACAATACTGTTGACTATCTTCCCCTTTCCCTTTACACCCATCCCCCACTCTCTCCCTTCTGGTAACCATCCCTTTGGTCTCTGTTCAAACAAAACAAAACAAACAAATAAACAAAAACAGACTCATAGAAACAGGAATTCCTTCCTAAGGAAACTCAGCCCCAAAGGATCGCAGCTGTTAGCATTTTATAAACATGTTCCTTACTTTGTCACCTTTTATTCCTGGTTTACCACAGTCTCCACGTACACCCTAAAAAAGAAATAAAATAAAATAAGAAGACATTTGTAGTTATCCAGTGTTATGATTTTCCTCTTAAGGATTTTCCCAACAGAATCTATGACATAAGCACTCTGATGGATTATACCCAGTTTTATCCTCAATCCTGTAGGTTGTTTGGGCATTGAACTATGAAAAATTTTATCCATGAGTCATCTTTAACTTGACAAAATCAAATCACTAATACCACTTAATGAGGCTTAACATTTTTGAGAGATGGATGAAATTAAAAGAAAAGCTAAGGTTTACTGAGCATCTACCATATATTATATGCCCTTGGCATGTGTGACTTAACTGAATCCATAGTACAGGCCAATGAGATCAGTTTTAGAATTCTCATTTTATAGATGAGGAAACTTAGCTCAGTGAGATAACTTCTCTCCATCATAGAGCTAGGTAGAAGAATCAAGATCAGAATCCAGGTCTACCCAGACTCAGGGCTGTGTTTCCACAACACCATGCTCAGTACCAACTTTGATCGAGTAGTAGCTTTTGCCTAGAGAATGTGAGGGAAGAGTCCTGAGACCATGTCATGACTTGATAGGGAAAGGAGTCATGATGGATGAGCAAGGTCTGCTGTGAGAGCCAGAGAGCGGGGCAAGGTGGCCAGCACGCTATGCATTTTCCATCATCATTCTCCACCGTCCTGCCTTTCCTAGAATATTAATGAAAAAACTAACATATAAATTATGTTTCACAGTTTATTATTAATGGTATTTTAGAAATTAGCTTTAGTTCATCTGACACCAACTGTCTGAGGTAGATATTTTTAGCCCAATTTTACAGTATGAAATTTTGTGATTCAAAAAGGTTAAGTAACTTGCTCAGGACTTCTAAGACTTCTAATAGTTGAACCAAAATGCAAAAGAGTCTATTGGGATAACAAGTAAAGTTAGAATTTCAAAGAGCTTTCATATATATATATATTCTGAGCCGCAGACCAATTCATATTTTTAAGATAAGGCAACTCAATTGGAGATGTACTTGAATACACATGCTAGCCCATGACTCCTAGTCCAGTGCCCTCGCTACTAGTTTCTGCTTCTGCTGCTGCTTTGTTTTCTATATGCTGCTCTAAGTGTGCTACTCAAAGTGCCACTGCACAATGACATAAGGGACTTGCACTAACATGGACTTCAGTGCCCTGCTTCCTTCATCAGGGAAGTCTTGCTATGAAAAATAAATGTCAGCTGAACTAAACAGTGTGCTTAGTGGTCTATTGGATTTATATTTTGGTGGAAACTTCATCTTTCCACAAAATAGCCACAAACAGTTCACAGATTGACAGCCAGCCTGCCCACCACACTTTGAACAGTGGCTGCTCCGAGAAGGGTAACCAGCAACTATGGATGCACAGTATGTGCCAAAGCCTTTATATTGTTGTTAATCCCCACACCAGCCTTGCCAGGGAGATATGTCTCCATTCACAGATAAGGAAAATGAGGCTCGGAGAGATTAAGGAACTTCTCCATGACCACAAGCTGAGTCCGTTAGACCCTCAGGTCCATGTTCTCCACTAGCCACCCAAAGCTGAACAAAGCTCACTGCCATGGTCTGTAGGTTCCTTCCCACTTACTCCATACTTCTGCCTAGGGTGCTGCCTGGGGTAGTGCTGGCACTGGAGTAGGAAAGAGGAAGGCACGATTCTTAGGTCCAGCTATGCCTGTTCAAAAGCAATCTATTCTCTCTCTACATCATGTGAGTCAAACTGACCCAGGAAAAACTGAGCCCTCTCTTAGGATAAGTCGGACATTTACTTCTGAATGCAAATGTAAAATCACTCTTGAAGAGTCTATTAGAAGGCAATTAATTTAATAATGTTGGATGGGAATAAAATGAGTCAACCAGCAAAATATCAAACAGAAAAGTACCATAAATACACTCCAAAGTATTTTGGCCAGAATTCACATTCCATTAGTCCAGACAGATTTGTTCGCTATAGGGTCCTGGGGAACAGCATTTGTTGTGGGGAGAGGGGTGCAGATTTCCATCAATTAAAATATTGTACTCATGTTATTTGCCTCTGCAAAGGCATTTTCTTGTTTGCTGGGCTCATTAGTCCCTGTGGAATGGCCACAATGACACAGTTCCAGAGAGAAAGTGCTTCAGAAAGCTGCAAACAGATTAGCTCTGTCCCCAGCCTCTGGCTTCTGATGCCACTGCTCCTGCTGAAATTCTGGTTTGAATGTCGATGGGTCAGGGTCGCTGTGCTCTGACAGCTTGTATTTTCCAAATGCGAACTCCTCCAGTGAATCTATAATTCCCCAGAAGTCTAAATGAATATTGTCTTATATAACATACATAATCTTCCTGGTGTTGATAGCTCGTTGTGTAAATCATAATTTTTCACAACTACATATGGGACAATTTTGTAATCATGGAACTTTTTAAACTTTCCCACATTATCATTTATTTCCTGTCTCTTCCTGATAGCACCTTACATTTACAGACCAGCAACAAGCAAACAATTTATTATCACATCCATTATTTCGTTTGAGTGTCTGAAAATTAGGGAGGCCTGGATTAGACCAGTTCCATTTGGATGATGAAATAAACACCCCAAGAGGTTGAGTTTCCAGGATCTTATGGCTAAGGGCAAAATCACGGCATTTCTTACACTCTTCCTCTTTTAGGCCTAACATTTCCAGTCCTTGGGGATATATTTATTTTCCTGTATGAAGGTTTACCCCTAATATTTGCAGAGCTCAGGGATAAGGACAAGCAGAGGCCCACATACGATGTATCTAAATAGTTGGAAGTTATAAATCAAGCTAATAAACTAGTCATGTTCTAGCTTCCTTTCTTGACAAATAAGCCTTCAAAAGACATTTTAAATCATAGAATTTGGGGATTCCTCAAGAGGTCCATGCAGGAGTACAGCCCCAGCCTAGAGCCTAGCTCCCACCTCACTTTCCACGTCCAGTTCCTTCCACAGCAAAAGATGCTGAAAGTGTGTGTACACAAAGGTGCCCACACAGCACAAAGCTGCCTCCAAGGCTCCCTCCTATTCTAGAAAACAGCTCTGACCACTTTGCAAGGACTTTTGGGGTCTTGGTTACCAAAGCATGACCTAGGCCAGTGATGGCGAACCTTTTGAGCTCGGCGTGTCAGCATTTTGAAAAACTCTAACTTAACTCTGGTGCCATGTCACATATAGAAATTTTTTGATATTTGCAACCATAGTAAAACAAAGATTTATATTTTTATATTTATTTTATATATTTAAATGCCATTTAACAAAGAAAAATCAACCAAAAAAATGAGTTAGCGTGTCACCTCTGACACGCGTGTCATAGGTTCGCCATCACTGACCTAGGCCATGGGGGCAAAGACCTCTTGCCCAGCAAATCCTGGCTCTGAGGGTTAGGAGTGGGGGCACAGGAGACCCAGAGCAGGGCCTCTGAAGTGCAGGCCGCTTGCCCAGATCTGAGAGCTGTACCACCTGTAGGATGGAATGGATGGTAAGGATGTGTTCAGATTTCAGACAGAAGGTCCGATAATAGAACAGTGGCAGACTTATTAATGAACCATTGAACACTCTCAAAGGTTCCTGGGCCCCAATCCAACTTCTTTATTTCTTTTGAATCAGTCTGTTAATTTCTTTTGAACTAGTTTGATCAGTTCCCTAACCTGTAATTTGCAAATAGTCTACCAACCCATTCCTTTCGTGTGTTTGTCAAATTTACTCCCTGCTACAGTCTCTACCCAGACGCCTAACTGAAGTCAGTGGTTCTTCACTGCTTAACAAACATAAATCATCTTTCTCCTATAGGAGGGCTAGGTGCCTAGGTTTTATAGGAAGTTAAGCAGCAAAGGAACAAACTAATTGCAGTATTTCTGCATCAGTTTGTACATGGACACTTTTCATCTGCATACCTGTGCTGCATGGCTGTTAAATTGGGGTTCTCTGTTTATGTCTGCAGAGCTCAGAGAGACTACATACTAATCTCAGGCGCTTCCCACCCCTTACAATACACACCCAGATCTTAAGTTATATTATTATTAGAGGCCCGGTACACAAAATTCATGCACTGGGGGGCAGGAGCGGGGTAGGTCCCTCAGCCCGGCTTGCGCCCATTCGCAGTCTGAGAACCCTTGGGGGATGTCTGGGGGGGAGTGACAAACACACGAAAGGAATGGGTTGGTAGATTATTTGCAAATTACAGGTTAGGGAACTGATCAAACTAGTTCAAAAGAAGTTTACAGACTGATTCAAAAGAAATAAACAAGCTATCAGTCAGACATCCTTAGTGCTGCCATGGAGGTGGGAAAGGCTCCCACCACGCCACCACTGCTACACTAAGCAGCCGTGAGCCCAACTTCTGCCTGAGCCACCAGGGGGCAGCTCCTGCGTTGAGCGTCTGCCCCCTGGTGGTCAGTGCGCATCATAGTGACCCAACATTCCACTGTTAGGTCAATTTGCACATTAGCCTTTTATTATATAGGTTTTTGTGTCAACATAGTTAAGACTTTATTTGCAAGTTAGGAAATCCCGACTTACAAAAATAAAGGAAAGAAAGTTTTATTCAGTACATCAATGCAGTGATGTTTCTGGAATCTGGTCTATTTGCTGTTACAAACTTACCTTCTCACCCTTGTACCCAGGAATTCCCTAATTTAAAAAAAAGAAAAAGAAAAAATGAAATATGATATTAGAAGGCATAGTTAGAGGAAGTACTTTATGTTTTTCATTTATAACATACAATAAAACACCTCTGTAAAGTCTTGGAAAATAAGACCGTATAGACCTAGGCTATTTCTCTTTGCACTTAGGGACTGTGCGTTTACTAAGGAGAAGAGAAACTAATTTTCCATGTATTACATTTACTCGCAGTTCCAGGTATTTTTTCAAATCCAAATTCTTGTCCTTTGGCCTGAAGCTGAAGAAGAGACTAGACACTGAAACTCATTGTACAAGTGAAGACCTGCAAGGGTCCTTTCAAATTGTTACATTGACTTTTAAACGAACTATGAGCAATCACAACTGAGAATTTTTCACAGGGACTGGTAGAGAAATTGGCTTTGAGAACGAGCTGGAATAATGAATGTCCTTTAAAATGTGCATAAATGTTTATATTCTTTATGGTCCCTCTTTCACATTCAGTCTAGAATATAAACATCAAGGAAATGAATGGTTCCTTTTTCTACCCTAATGAGACAGTGAGCTTTGATTTACTAAGTTTTATCTCATGCTAAATGAGGGGCTCCTTTGCTCCTCTTGGGAACCCTGCACAGCCCTCTCCATGTGTCACTGCCCATAAGCTCCTTAAGTAATATAATAGTGAATAAAAAAGGGACTGGAAGTTACCAACTTTACGCAACAGCAAGTCTTTTTCATATAGGATTTCATGTCTTCTTCATACTACTGTAGTTTTCAAGTATGAAAATGGACTTGTAAGACTGATTTTAAGTGGGCTGTAGAAACTAGTGGCATAGAAAACTATTCTTGCAGTTACATGTAAGTCAGCCTACAACATTTTGTTCTGTGTGTGACTTCGTTACAAAAGTAAAAAGGAAAACTTCAAGGAGGAAAGAACGCTTCTCGGTCAAATGAGTGGTCACCGAGAGATAGAAGATAAAAGTGGAACTAATCCAAGATATTGTTGCTGCAATTTAATTCATTTTGGGGAATATTAATTCACTTAAGTGGCGTAATTTTTAGGATGGTGCTTAAAATGAAGGCTCACGTATAAACAGTTAAATTAGGGTCTTTATTAAAACAATTCGTGTTAGCAGCACTAAAAAAGCTAGACTTCTAATCTTAGGGAACTTGGGGTGCTTTCCACCGCTTACATCATACAACCATAGTTCAAATCCTGTCATTACTTTATGTTAAAAGAATTAAGACTGCATTTTAGAAGGAGCCAGTACAGTTTTGTTTTGTTTTTTCTTTCTGAAATCTCTGGTTCATTTTATTATTTGGTTGCTATCAGTTTTCTTCCTTCCTTGCTTCCTTTCAAGGCATTTTTTTTTTAAATTTCAGAGATGAAGGGAGAGGGAAAGATGGATAGAAATATCAATGATGAGAGAGAATCATTGATCAGCTGCCTCCTGCACGCCCCCTACTGGCGATCGAGCCCACAACCTGGGCAAGTGCCCTGACCAGGAATCGAACCCTAACCTCCTGGTTCACAGGTAGATGCTCAACCACTGTGCCACGCCGTCCAGGCTTTTCATGGCATCTTAATTACTAGTTTTAAAATATCCAAAACTGCACTTGTGGGTCTCTGCCAAAATTGTTTCTGACTTTCTTATTTCTATTAATGGTATCATCATATTTCAAATCACACAGTATCAAAATTTTATAATCATCTTTTCTTTCTACTCCCCCCTTACATTCCTTTAAACCAACCAGTTAAAATTATCCAACAGCTTCCACTGCACTATTTTAAATCCACTCTCCTGACCCAGGCCAACAAGGCACTATGTGATCTAGCCTCTGCCTGCCTCTGTAGCCTCGCCTCCACCCCCTTCATCAAGTCTGGCTTCTTTCCATTTACTGAGTCGGCCCAGATTGTTCCCACCTCAGAGCCTTTGTCTCTGCTGCTCTTTCTGCCCAGAACATCCCTTGTTTCATATTCCCATAGCACTTCTCACTGACTGAAATTCTTTTCATTCATTTGCCTATTTATTGCCTCCCCCTGCTAGGACACTTTGTGCAGCAGGGACTGTCTGTCTTGTTCACTCCTGTATCTCCAGCACCTAAAAGAGGGCCCAACACATAGAAGGTGCTCAATAAATATTTGCTGAATATGTGAGTTAGAGTGAATCCCCACATCCTATCATTTCTTTCCTTTCATGGTTCTCACAATGTCCTCTTCCTTTCTACTTTGTCATCATTGTAGCCCAGTTCTGTGCAATAGAATGTGAGCTCCAAATGGGAGCCCCATATGTTTAAATTTAGTGATAGCCACATAAAAAAATGAACAGGTGAAATTAATTTTTAATAATATATTTTATTTATCCCAATAGGTCAAAAACAGTGTCATTTCAGCTTGTAATCGTATAAAGAATATCAATGAGATCATTTACATCTATTTTGGGGTTACAAAGTCATCCAAACTTGGTGTGTACTTTATTTCTAAAGCACGCCACAATTCGGGCTGGCCATGTTTCAGCTGCTCAGTAAGTACAGGTGGCTGGTGGCTTTCATATCCTCCAGAGCAGCTCTAGCCAGTTCCCTGTTATTTCTCATATAGGCTGTAGCAACAAACCTTCTAAGTGCTTCTTCCTTCTGCTTATTCCCACTTAAATTTCTCTTTTAGAGCCATGCCAGACTAATCTTCCAAATACACAGTCTTGGGTCATATGCCTCATCTAAAATCTCAGGGGAAGTGCCCATCACCTAGCAAAACCGAGACCTTACATCCGGCATAGAGCACCCACTCTTCAGGCACCCTATCTCACCATTTCCCAACACACTGCCTTCCCTGTGGCTGCTGCTCAAGGCCCGCTCCATCTGGAATGCCTGTCCCTTCCACCTTCCTATTCTGTCTTTTCCTGTCACAATACTACACCCTTTGGGGGGTCATCCCATAAAATCTGCCCTGACAACTCCAATTTCTGAATTCCCATAATACTTTGTGCATGCAATTTTCACAATATTTTGACACTCTGCTTCATGTAGTAGCTATTTCAAATCTTATCTCTCCTCTGAGATAATAAATATTTCAAAAATATAAGTGCTTTGTCTTAATTTTATTTTCACTTAGTAAGCATGCTTTATATAAGGAAGATAATTAAGAAATGTTTCCTGAATAAATAACAGAAATTTCTGAACGGATTTCCATTGAAATTTTTAAACTGTCTATCAGATTCTTTCATAAAGTTAATTTAAAAAATGAAGACAGCAGTTTTTAAAACCTCTAGGCTTTCACTCAAGGATACACGGAGAGGAGAGAATTATCATGGCCTCCTTTTGTTCACTGTATACTTCTCTGCTATTTGCTACACTATTGCAATTCTAACCCAAATGCTAATGAAACATTTTTCTGTAATTATTTTTCATGATAGTTCCAGAATTTTAATTTTCTCTTTATTGAAAAAACAATACAAGAAGTAAAGCAAAATATTTTTCTTATTTGAGCCTTTCACAGGTGTCCAATTTAGTATTAGGGAATGTCACGTGGTTGACCACTCCTCTCATCATCTGTCTGATTGCTTGTGTGAGACATCACTAATACCCGTAGATATAAGTCATTTTTACACTTGCACACCAGGGGTCAAAATGGTCAATTACAGAATCTTAGCACCCTGGGATTACTTCCTTAGGAAGGCAATCCAGTTGTGTACATACCCCTGGGCCTCTTTCTCCAGGTTCCCCTTTTTGAGCATCACCCTGTGACAAACAAAAAACTCAGTCAGAATTCCACAGCCATGCAGAGGGACTGATTGCTTAATAAAATGCGTTATTCAGAATTCCCAGATTAGCAAGACAAGCCAGTGGGGGGGAAATTCTTTGGCCTTTCCCATTGACATTTTCACCATGCAATCTAGGGAAGAAAATAGCAGCTCAGATAGCTTTAGCCCTTTAAAGTGAAGCCAGATGTAGAGGGTGCAGAATCCAGGTACATTTTTCACAGCTAAGGCCAAGTCGTGCATCCCAGTTTAACAACACAGCCATTGTTCTCAAATATAGCATTGTACCCACTAGGAGCCAGCCACTTTGGCTTTTCTCCAAGGGGCTTTGGAATGTTTTCCAAAATGTCCTAAAGAGTGATTGCTTGATTTCAGTAAGACTTAGGAAAATATATATTGTGGCACAAAATTACAAGCCAAATAAATGAAATGTGAACATAGACTTATAACAGGTATTTAACAAAACAAAACACAAAGAAGACATAATGGGAATTTGAACCCATATGCTAGTAAGGTGAGTGTAGGGGTGTGTGTGTGTGTGTGTGTGTGTGTGTGTGTGTGTGTGTGTGTGTTTGTGTGTATTACAAGGATGCTTTACATTCCCTTTCTTTGACAAACATGCAATTGACAAAAATACTTTCATGCATTTAACTTATTATATTTTTCATTATCTCCCTAAGTATATTCTCAGAAATAAATCATCAGGTTAAATATTTTAATATTCAATGCCTCTTATGTAGTGCCTAATTGCTTTCCACAATGTGCCACATTACCTTTGCAATGAAGAGCAACTAGTTTCCCCACCATATTGCTATCACTAGTTATTATGATTTTAATATTGCTGTGTTAACTGTTATAAAAAAAGAAATTTTTTTTAAAAATTTGAAACACAGACTAAACCAAATTATGTGAACTAGAAAACTGATCTCTTCCCTGCCTCAAAATATAACCCAACAACCCTGAATGCCAACGTGTCTACAGTGTGAATTATTTGTATTAAAGGGTACCTCAGTATCTCTATTTTAAATTTCATTCACTTATATAGTAAAATCAAATGTTTTTCTATTTCTTTATTTACTGGTTTTATTTCCTCTCTTGGAAATTATTTGTGTCCTTTGACCAATTAATTATTAGAAGCTTGATATTTTCTTATTCATGTCATTGTCTTTATGTACTACAGAAATTAACCCAATGTCCATTGTATTTGGTAAAAACATTTCCATATATGTTTTCCTTTTTATTTTAATCATTATGTTCATTATGCATAATTTAGCCTTAAATTTTCACATAGTTATATCTACTAATCTCTGTTTTGTGATACCTCCAGTCACTCTAAAAGTTGGAACACCATCATCCCAACAATGATCAGATCATTAAAAATAATTAATCTATAATTTTTGATGGGTACACAAAGAAAAGATTTGAGAAAATGCCTGAAGTGTGAGAGAAAATCTGGTGTTTTTTCTATTATTATTGTAGATCAGTTATCTACAAAGTGAATCCATAAAAACATAAGTGTCTATGCCAATCTGACTTGGAACATGTCTTAATAATTCATGGACATTGTACTCATCAATATGGGACATCACTACTTAATTACAAGCTTCTATTTGTTGGGTTCCAAGGTTTCCTAGATGTTTTGACTAAAACAGCCATTTGTTACTCAGAATTTGTAAATGCAAGCTAACAAAAACCAGATAGCTAATGTAGGAAATGAACATTTTGTATTTTTCACAGAAATCATCAGATTTCTGCCATTGACATATACTGCAATGCTCTTAATTTTTCTTAATTTTTGTTCTAGAAATAAAGTTAGAAGAAGGCACACTGATTTAAAGGAAAGCTGTTCATTCATTTACCGGGTTTCCTTTTGGTCCTCGCTCACCTTTGATACCCGGGTTTCCATGGGTACCCTAAAGGCAAACAGGAAAAAAGATTATATTGAACAGCCATCCTGTTAGTTTCTTAAACCTTACAATAATTTCTGATCAGCTTCATCCCATAAAATGAGGGAAGATTGTAAAAAACAAATACTTAACATACCAAGAAGAGAGTCAACTCTATTCTCTCCTTTCCTATATACCAGGAAACCTGCACTGTCTTGAATAGGCTGGTTCGCTAGATTACCCAAAAAAGGATAATGTCTCTCTCTCCTTGATATCTGAAAGACAATCTCCAAAGACGGAAGAAGAGAATTCTCCAAATCTTATTCCAGAAAGGTGCTTCATCTTCTTATTCTCAAACCATCAAAAAGCTCACTTTTCTGAGAACTGGTTTTGGGGGCACCCAATGAATGTTCATGACACAGTTCTTTATCCTTACTACAACATGGGACTATCTCTTCTAACAATATTGATTGACTGAAACTGTCAGGTTAGCTCAGTTATGGCAAGTTTTGCTACTGTTCATTCTAAAACATAATTGAATATCACAAGTAAACCTTCCACTGGTAATCCCTTGGTGTAATAAGTATAAACCAAGACTTTATAGGAAGGGAAATTTAAGCCTTTGCTTTGGCTAAAGTCAGCTTCTACTGGCCGTCACATTATCATGTAATGTATCAAACTTTGTATTTTGAAGTAAAAAAGACAAACATCCCCACTTTCTAATGCCTTGATTGGGAAGAAGGGTTGAAAACGTATAAGCTTAGGACTCAAGTCTCAAGGTAACATGTGTCATAGGCTAAGAAGTTCACAGCACGCATTTCCCTTCCCATCCCCAAATATAAGTGTTAGTTCAAACATTTTATCCATGCACTTTTGTGAAATATCTCTACTGTGCTTCTGAACATTAAGGTTTGGAATCAAATAAAGGAAATACTGAAAAGGAAGAATAGATGCTATCGGATGATCTGCTATTAGAGAAATGTTCAGCATCTCCAGTCATCATAATGCTATTCCATGTCACAGAATTCACTCTATTCCCCAAGGCTCCCTGACCTGGGCTTCCTCCACACAAGGCCACGCGGCATTGCTCTTAGATGAGTGTAAAGACAAAGAGGTCTGTGTCGCTTGTTTCCAGGTGGAACAAACAAAGCTTTGCCTAAAGCACTGAGTGTTTGAGTGATCTTTTTATATTTTCACTTCAGTATTGAGAAATTCTGGCCCCAATTGCCACATAAGAAGTGATGCTGAAATAACCTTTGGGGGAACAATTTAATCACTTTAAACCTTAGTTCAGGTCAGTAAAATCCCAGGCTTATTCCTAAGGACAGAAGGTATCCCTGTAGGAACAAAAGAGAGAAAAAACATTTCCTTTTTTGCTGCTTTTTGCACGCAACTGCTTTTCAACAGCACAGAATAGTCCTGGTATTTTCAAGTGTGAGTAGAGTGATCATTGCTAGGACTTCCTGACTTGACCCTAAGCTCAAAGGAGAAATATACTCACCGGAATGCCTGGCTCGCCTGGGTCGCCCTTCTCACATTTACAAGTCTTGGGTTCACACTGAATCATTAATAAAATACAATATTAACACATAGTGAAACAGAGCATTTCAAATCTCATTCAGTACATTACTAAATGAAACACTCCCTTGAAGGAATTTTATCTTACAAGTTTATGGAGATTTTGCTCTTCCTAATATATTCTTCTAGGAAAATTCAGACCTCATAAGAACATAATTGAATAAGCTAAAGTATTATTAAACATTGCCTTGGTTAAATTGAGGAGACCACCTATCTCTTCATATATATATATATATGACATCTAGTTGCTAGTTTAAAAATGGGAAGGATAAACATTTTCAGTGGACTCTTGGAATTTCTGCTGTTTCTCTATTATATAACACATCAGAGCTCAATAATATACAAATATCAAAGAGTCCTTTACTCAGCAAAGGAAAACATTTGACTTAAACCATATTTAATCAATTCTAAGATGCACATTTTTCCTCATGATAGCATCTCTGAAATCAGAGAGAGCTCGGACATGATGAAATTGCTATTTTCTGCATTAGCACTTCAACTTACAGAACGAAATGGAAGAAAACTCCAGAAGCACTACTGCAGCACGCAAGAAATTCTGGATCGCCAGTGCTTTTGATGGAACGGACACCAGTATTTTATAGAAAAACTAGTACATCAATGACTCCCAGACAAAAAGTGATTCAGCAGATTTAGACTCTGAATGTGAAGAAATTTTAGAAATAACCAATTTATCTTGCTTATATATTTTCATATATGTATGTACAAAAGCAATATAGGGCCTAAAAATCTATATCTAAATAAATCTAAAAGGACTCTTTTATACTCATAAGTATAAAATGAAAAATCGTAATTAAGAAGGCACTATATCATAGTTTAATTACCAGAGTGTTTTCTTGTCTTAATGGCACATAAAAATGGTTTATCTGAACACGTATAATTCAGTGAAAGATGCTCTACAAGGTTTGGTTCGCTCCTGTTATTTTATGCAATACTAGAGGCTGGATGCACAAAATTTGAGCAAGGGGTTCGGCCAGCCCTCACAGCCCTGCCTGCCTCAGCCGGCCCTTGGCTGCGTCCAGAAGATTGTCTGGACAGTTGTTCTGCTGTTTGGTCTAATTAGCATATTAGCTCTTTATTATATAGGATTACATGTAAATTTTCTGATGTTAAATAAGCAGTTTATCGAACAAAGTTCAGACGTTCCAAACTTTTTAATGTTAAGAAACACATGTTCAGTACAGGAGTCCTCAGCAAGCTGATGGTCATCTCTGTGCTAAGTAATTTACTATCCAACAAATATGGGCCAGCTTCCTCTGCCACTGTCAGGAAAAATGAGCTTAAAGTCAATCAGCAGGCAGCAGGGGGCAACTCTGCACTCTGTCTCTTAGCCAGGAACACTCTCCCTGACCCTGCCCATTACAGGCACACCTCCCAAAATGAAGGACTCCCCCACCCCATACCCCGAGTAGTTGGTGTCAGAGACATGCTTAGAATAAAAGAAGTCATATCAAACTAAGCAAAAACTATGTCATTTGGTTATCATTAATTTCTAAAATCAGTCTCTAAAATCACATTAAATTTTTTTTCTAATTTTCCAACCTGCAGCGGATATGGTGGCCTAAAAGAAATTAGATGGTGGCCTAGAAATAGAGTGGCTCTTTTTAAATATAGGTAAGCATTTTTTAGTCACACCTATCTCCAAATGTGAATTATAATGCTGATTTAATAATGTGAGCTTTTGGAGTAATTCAAAGAATGTGGTTCTTACCTTCTTTTCAAACAAGATGTCCTAGGAGGGAAAAAGAATGAAACATTAACTCAATTCATGGTTCTGCTTCCAACTTCTCATTAGTCTTAATTATTCCCTATGGGATATGCAATTTCTACAAAGAATAGCAATTCAGCCTTTTTAACCTTGTGAAAGCAATAAACCCTACCAGCCAACCACCCAAGGAATACTCTGAGCCACATAACAGTAAGAGACATGAAGAGAACTAACATTAAAGCTATTTTGTTATCTAAGACCATCCCATTGCACCCTATGCTTATCTTTGATTTCCTTTATCATCTCTATGATCTGGCTGAAAGCTTAATTTGGCTACAAGTTTAATCAGTCATAATGAGAAATTTCTTACTTTTAGTTACAAAGACTTAGGCAGAATATATAATTGTGTACTTTCTCTTCTTTTATTTTTCCATCCTTATGCATATATGCATTTGTTTGGAAGTATTAAAACAGTAGTTATAGGGTTATGACTTCGTGAAATATTAATGAGTGAGCCTTAGAAGTCAATCATGTTGAACCTCTCATTTTGTAATAAGGAAACTTGGTCTGCAGCGTTGTGACTTGTCCAGGGTCACCCATTTGGGCTGAGCCACCTAAGTTCAGTGTTACTTCACACTTACCCACACAGACACTAGTTAGCCAGAATATTTTTCAAAATTACTTTAAATTCCTAATTTTAGAAAAATTAGGGTATTATCTAACAAGTGCACTGAAGGCCATGTCTGAAGTCAAACCCTGGGGGAAAATTAACCTATGTTTACAGATAGAATTGTTGCTTTCTTAAGGTAGGTATTATGTATCAAATTAATGCCTTATGACTGAATCAGAAGGGATAACATACATATGATAAAATAGAAAACGAAAGCAAAAGCACTAGAATATTTGTTGCAAAATATAAAAAATGATGGATGTAATGAGGAAGTTAAAGATATGTCAGAGTTGTACTTTTATGGAGGACTCCACATCCCTATAGTTTTGTTTTTACTTTATTTTTATTTCCATACAAACTAATAGTATAGAAGAAGACACAGCAAAACGCTTTAAGTGGCTCAATTTAATGGAAAGAAAAATTAGGGCATTAAGTGGCATCCAGGGTTTTCATTCTGTTCCCACCATTAGCTACTCATGTGGCCTTGGGCAAGTCACATAAGCCTTCCAGGTCATTTCCAACATATATAAAATGAGAAAGTTTGACCATTTCACTGTCTTGGAGGCCGTAAAATTCTTTCCACAGATCCATACAAAATTCAGGGTTTCACCTGTGGACTTCTTTCTCCCCTTTCTCAATCCCTTCTCAACCCAATGATTTTAAAATACTAACATGTGTCAATCCAGGCTGAAAGCAGACAATGTCTTAAAGATGTATCTATAAGACCCAGCAGGTCATGTGGAGAAATGGGAACTTAGAAACAATCACAGTCTCAGTGTAAAATGGCATTCCCTCTTTCGGGAACTTTCGACTGTGTCTAGAAAGCTAAAGATGTGCCTGGTTTACCTCTAGGCTACCCAGGACAAGTCCTTGTTTCCACCTGTTGTCCTGACAACTTTTCTAGACATACCCTAGAGAAATTCTTACACATTTAAACATTCACTGGTTTTAATAGTGAAAAATTGGAAATAATTAAAATATCTATCATTCGGGGAATGGATCAATAAATGAAATACTATTCAGCAGCTAAAATGAATGTCCTGGATCTCCATATTTCAACATAAAAGTTTTTTCAAAAACATTGAGTGAAAATGCAATGTGATCCAAATTATGAAAATATCTAAAACATGTCATAAGCTTGATTTCCTCTGGGAGAGAGAGAAGGAAAAGAAATACAAGTCAAATTGTAATATTTGAGAACTAGTGAAATAAATAAAAATTTAAAGTTTTGTCACTTTATAATAAGCAATGTCCTTCTCAATTTTAAACTCATGAATTTAGGTGCTACTGTGCCTGGTGTGTAATTTTACACTTTTCTAGCTCTTCCTTTGAAAATTTAATTTCTGCTTTGCCATATTACTATCTAAAAATGTGTGCTATGAGGATGAAAACCATAACAATACAACTAATTATTTTGGGAACTCATTTGATTTTGTGTTTGTTGGGATTTATATTTCTATGGAAATAAAAGTGGACCCAAAACTGCACAATAGATAGGACTGTTTCAAACAATTTCAAACAATGAACAATGCTCCATCCCTAAGGGCACTTATAATCTTAAGCCCCACCGACAGAGAACAGATAGCTCAGGGCAAGCAGCGTGGGAAGGAGATCCTGGATTGGGTGTGTGTGGGGTGGGGGGCACGGTAACAAGATAGATTCTTGGAATCGGTGGATTTTCTGGATAATTTTGAAGGGAGGAATGCAAAGGACCAACTCTTTGATGGAATGCTGTTCTATATGTCAAAGTTTATGAGGAAAAAGTCATAAAGACTAGTGTGGGCAATAAGACAAAAGAAGCAGTGAGGAAGGACATTTTAAGAAGAGTGGACAGAGAAGCCCACAGGGCAGAGCTGGAGGCCTTGGGGCGTAGTGGGAGCTTTCACTGAGGCGGAGTGGTGGGCTGTGTGGAGAACATGGTTAAAGCCAGAGGGAAGGTCAATTAAGGTCTATCAGTGGTTGGCAAACTGCGGCTCGCGAGCCACATGTGGATCTTTGGCCCCTTGAGTGTGGCTCTTCCACAAAATACCAACTTCTGCGCATGGGCCACGAAGTTTCAATCTCACTGTACATGCGCGCCCGCACGTAGTATTTTGTGGAAGAGCCACACTCAAGGGGACAAAGAGCCTCATGTGGCTCGAGAGCCGCAGTTTGCCGACCACTGGTCTATGTGGATACTGTAATTTAAATGAAAAGGGTAAATAGATAAAAGCCCTCACTAGAGCAAAAGTATTAATGAAGTCAGAGTTTTATGATGGCATGTATGTGTTAAGGAGAAGGCTAGAATGGAATTGCCAGTTTTGTGAATGACTATGGCATCATTGCTATGAGAAGGGGAGAGAGGAAATGTGAGGAAGCTGCAGAAGTTATAACACAACACCAAATAGGATGAAAATAAAGAACTTAGTCGCAAGGATTACAAACTCTATGACAAGAACTATTTGTGGCTTTAGCAAAATGCAAAACCTTAAACAGAGAACAGAAATAAGGCTCTAAAGAGAGGACGCCTTCAAAAACTGAGAAATGGACTATAATTAATAAATTAATAAAGCATAGAATTCTAAAAATGACAGAACAATTATCAAGTTGATCTCTTTTTGGTGTGTAAAGAAGGGATACACTAAACTGGGGGTTTTCTTAATCTTCAGAGAAAGAGACCAATGTGTCACAAGCTTTATTCCCATAAAGACTTTTTGAAAATTTAACATCAAAGATGATAGAGTAAATAATTTTTTTTATCTCCACATCTTTCTTTCTCTTCTAAAGGACCAAGTAATATATCCAGGAGATCGGGTTGAGTCCCTTAGGTTTCAATACTGTTATGTAAATCATAATAAAACAGCAATAAAAATAATTTCAATTTAAAAATCATTGACCTCTCTTGGGTGATTCAGAACTGAAATGTTTTCATGGGGTTCTTACATGACATTTTCTACTAGAGGTGTTAAGAATGTACAATGATTTCCTGAATTTTCTTGGCTCTTGCAAAATCTACTCATAGTGGACACTCATGTCCATAAATTCAATTAAAGTCTACTCTGCAATAAAAAGGAATAAAGTGCTGATACAAAAAACAACCCAGATGAATTTTTAAATCATTATGCTGGGAATAAGAAGCCTGCTACCAAAAGGGTACACACTGAATGAGTTTATTTATGTAAACTTCTAGAATGTGTACACTAACCTAGAGTGAGAAGTCAATGTCAGTAGTAGCTCAAGGATGAGGGAAGAATGCATTGCAAAGATGCATGAGAAAACTTTGGGGGTGCTAGAAATGTTCTATATCCTACTTGTGTTGGTGGTTTCCCAGGTATATACATCTATCAAAACTCATGGCATTGTGTACTTCAAGTAAATGCAGTTTTGTACAGAAATTATACCTAGTTAATTTATTTTTAAAAGTCAACTACATAATTATTTCAAAATAAAAAGTATAAAAATTCAACTAATCATGTAACAGAAATAGATTAGATGAGGAATTTTGCCAATGGTCTGATGAAAAGACAAGTTCTGCTTCCTAGAAGTGGCAATTGGAAACATTGGAACTTGGTATATCTTTCTTTGAAGAGCCTGATAAGCCCTTCGGATTCTGGAAGTGTTTGGAAAGAGGCCTCTCCTTCTAAGAAGTAGCTTGTTCACAGAGCTTCCATCTGAACAAACAGGCTGAAATCCCAGGATGCTAAGGAAGAGCAGAGTCATTAGAATGCTTGGTCATATTTTAGTTTCCCCAGAAACGAGCAAACAGTATTACATGGAGTCTGCTGCCAAGAGCCTGTGTTCCCGGTTGGGCAGGAGCTCTTGGTGAGGATGTGTCTGGTGGAACATGAGCTTCCCCAGCCTTCACATCTGGCCAAACAAGGAGCCTGTCCAGCATCTTCTACAGTCAGCCACAGGCAAGTCATTATCACAACCTCAGGGTTCTCTCCTGCACGTGCGGGAGCCTTCTGTTTTCTGTTCCCTGGTGAGGACTCCTTAAACTACAGCACAGGACGGACTAGGCAGTTAGCCAGGCACCCTGCACAGTTCGCTTCCACACAAAAGAGCAGCTCAGAGTAAGCATTCACCCCAAGCTACTATTTCCCCTCTCACAAGATTTTACAGGGTTAAGCATGCAGACTCTGGGGTCTTTGCCCGGCCTTACATTTTCAGTGATAAAATGATAATAATAGTTTCTACATCACAAGATTGTTGTAAACATTGAATAAGATAAAATATGTAAAGTGCTCAGAACAATGCCTAACACAGAGTACTCAAGATACGATAACTATCATTTAGATAAGAAAAACTCAGGGTTTCATGCGGAAAACAGCTGAGTGAAAAATGAAGAGTAATGTTGGGGGGAAAGAGTGGAGGAAGGGACAAAGGGGAAAAACAATCTCTGAAATGGATCCTCAGTTTTTTTTCCAACCCACACAAAACAGCCATATGAAATGCTCAGTCCCTGAAGGATATATTTGTCTTGCAACGAACGAAAGAAAATTAATCTTTTTAAGAAAATCAAATTTTTAACACAACAAATCAACCATATTTTCTCCAGGAGTGTTTTCATTGAGAAATATGGTGAAGAGCGATTTTGTTTTGATTGCTTTGCCTTATGTTCCACCAAGCAGCAAGGAAAGGTTCTTACACACACTGAGCAACCGACAAAGAAGAAAGCATCAACAACACAGCCAATTAGATCAATAAAGAGGGACTCATTGATCTGATGGGAGAAACTGTTGGCTGACTGCAGGTGGTAGGTGATTTTACATTGGGTGACATTGTTACCACCTAAGAAACAAGGAATTGTTTTTTTCATCGGGAGTCTATGAACTCTGAGCATAATATGTCAATAGTTGAGACAAAGTATTTCTGCACATGTGGAAAGGGAAAAGATCAACTGAATACAAATATAGCAGACCATGAGTTGACCTCAAATTGAATATAAGTCAGCAGTGTTCAATGAGCCCAGGATGTATAAACAGGAGCCTGAGGTGTATGATTGGAAACTAATCCTCAAATCCCCAGCATTGGCTAGCAATAAAGTGAGGAATGCAGCTCCAGAGAATGAGCCTGGTACTTCCCAGTGTATCTGGTGTGAACTATCGAAGAAATAGAGAGAGAGACTTTGGAAAGATTCTTCTTTGCATCTCCAAAGTGAGGTTTTTTTTTTCTTTCATTTTTTTGATCCAGTATCTGTTCTTACAGAATTTATAATTAGAATATTATTATTAGAATGAGATGTATGTCTATAAAACCAACCCATGAGATACCTACCAGGCGATCCCGAATTTTATCTACAAGGGCTGGATCACTCAACAGGAGAATGGGTTCACTAGATGAATCCCCAGATATCAAACGCAGTTTGGCTTCATTGACTACAGTAGAAAGTCCAATGGTGATAAATAATATTCCTTCAGTTCTGGCTTCGTCAGAAATACTTTGAACATCTGGACTCTTTGGATGGTCAATGCCATCAGTCATCAGCAAAGCTACTTTCACACCACCTTTACGTCCTTCTCTCTTAAGTAGCCTAGTGCCATTGGAGATGGCATAATAAGAGTAAGTACCTTGCCCGATGAAATTCATAGACTTGACCCTCTGCTTAAAAGTCTGTAGATCCTTCCAAGAAGAAAAAGGTGGGTCGATTTGGACGGAGCTGCTAAACTGAAGAGCTGCCAGTTTGATGTCATATTTCAAGGAGCGACCCGGGGTCAATTGGAAAAGCTCGTCACTCAAGCTAGCCACAAAATCTTTCTGTTTGTCAAAGAGAACAATTTTAGAACTTTCAGAGCTGTCCACAATGAAGACAACATCTATGAAGCAAGTGGAGTCTGAAATAGAATAAATAGGTTAGGCAAAATGCTTGTACCTACTCATGAAACAATTTTACATAAGAAAAGCCCTGAGCTGATATGTTGTGTGTTGTTGATTTTTGAGTGGAGAGAGAAGTGTAAAAGAGAGGCACCTTATAGATAGGGCTTCAGGTGTAAAGAACTAAATCTCTTTGCAAGTCTATATATTCCTTTTCTCTTGTAAACTCATGCAAATCAAAAGCAATCATTTTAAAAGTACCATACATTCTGAGCATCTACCCAAAGTGAAACCTGCTTAAAATGGGAGGGGGAAAAGTGCATCATAATTTACAAATTCAACAAACATTGGGCAAAGTTGTCTATAAGTAAATAATACTCAACCTTTTTCTCGGGTGTGTTTCATATTAATAAGGCCCCTTCTTGTTTTTGAGTTTCGGAGTGTTTTTTTTTTTAACTTTTTGAAATTAAGAGAGAAAGTAACTACACACCTCACACTGTCGCTACAGGAAGGGAGAAAGAAACTTAAAAGCAGGGAATTTAAGACTGAATCTTAGTCACTCTGACTAGTTAATTTGCCTATGGCCTTGGGTGTACCACTTGGCCTCTCTGGGCCTCAGTTCTTTATCCATAAGATGAAAGTGGCATTCTCTCTCATGCCTATTTTATAAGATTACTGAGGAGCTTAAACGAGATAATAAATGTACAAGTGCTTTAAAAACTCTGATGTTTATAAGTATGCCCTGTAAGTATGTAAGGTATCTCACTATCATAATATAATCATATCAAAGTAGAAAGTCACATATATGCACATATATATAGTTTGTTATTTGCATCAAATGCTACTGGTGAAAATGCATGTTAGTGTTTGAACAGGCTAAAACTAATCATTAAAAACAAAAATAAAACTTTTTTTTTTTTACCCTGGAGATCATTTCTCCTTGCAAGTAAATTGGGCTTTGATCCTTTCTTTCTTTGTCCATATATGGTTTGACTCATAAAAGCTGGCAAAATCAGGAGATAAAAGACAAAATGTCTGTTCCACATTTTGGTAGATGGTGAAAAATCATCTGCTTGTAGCACCTTTAATAGAAAAATCAGATATAAGTACTATAATAAAATATAATGCTTACTATTTTTAATTCCACTCCAGCAGAATTGAAAACTGGCATGTGAGTGGAGAAAAGAGTTTTCATTCATATTTATAGAAGGATATGCACATTGAGATTTTAAAAGTTTCTAATCCAAATAAATCATGGCACTATAACCAAACATTTATTAGTAAATATTACTATCAATCAAAGAGTTACATCTAAGTAGTTTGAATTTCCCATTTTATTATGGGAAGCAGGAAGTTGGGAGAGCCATTTAACACATTTCTGTCCCATTCTGGTTTAATCACAGGGTCTGCTTTGACATTTCCACATTCAGACTGTCACATGGTTGTTTCATTCATTTTCATTATAACTAATTCCTGATCAGCCCGATATTTTTCCGGGCTGTAGAGAACCACCACATTTCAGTCTTACTATGTGTACTCACAACTTCAGTGAGTTCAGAGGTCAAGTCAAAAATTAGGTTGACTTTTCTCTTTTCTACTCTTCTTTTGGAAACTGTATCTCCACTAGAGTTCCAAGCTAGACCACAACTGCATATCCAATAAATCAAAAGAATATGAAAGCAAAAATAGATTTGTGCAGCTGTTCTTCCAGCTAATGGACTGAAATGGGACTTGAAATCAGGAAGCACCCCTTCTGAACAGCCATGTGAAACTATTTTTCTGGGTAGATTAACAATAAAAAGTCCAAGCCTGTATTAAAATCTTCAGTCATTTCCATCACTCAGTATGCCCAGCTATACATGAAATAACTTTAAATTCACACACTTGCCTGGTAAGAAAAGATTCACGTGTGGCTAGCTCAGTATACCCAAGAATGGATAAGAAAGCTTATTCTGAACCAAGGTTTCAGAATGTTTGCCTGCTTAAATTATATTGACTTCAGAAGTTCTGGGAAAGGAATCACATTTTTCCTTCTTTGGCACCTTGCCTTGAGGGAATGGGAACTGGGAAATCATGAGCATGATTTTTCCAGGCTCTGAGTAGGGGGTAGAAATGGATGCAAAAGCAGTGAAGAATGAGATGAGTGACTGAAAATCTTTCATACCTGCCAGATGAAGAAATGCCAAGGGAAGCAAAACTGTTGGGTTGGGAATGAACCAATGAAAGGCTCATGCCATTGTCTGTTTCTCAAATAGGATCATCTAGCAGGAAGTTTATTAAGCTGACTTTGTATCAATATGGCCAAACATCCTGCTAGCAAGTACATCAAGTGCAATTGACCGAAGGTCAACTACTCTTTAGACCAGGGATGCTAAGATGTGAAGACAGGTGGGTGTTAAAGGAAAGAACAAGAACTGTACTAAGGCAGTGGTTCTCAACCTTCCTAATGCCATGACCCCTTAATACAGTTCCTCATGTTGTGGTGACCCCCAACCATAAAATTATTTTCGTTGCTACTTCATAACTGTAATGTTGGTACTGTTATGAATCGTAATGTAAATATCTGATATGCAGGATGTATTTTCATTGTTACAAATTGAACATAAAGCATAGTGATTAATCACAAAAACAATATGTAATTATATATGTGTTTTCCGATGGTCTTAGGCGACCCCTGTGAAAGGGTCGTTCAACCCCCAAAGGGGTCGAGACCCACAGGTTGAGAACCGCTGTACTAAGGAACTAGAATATACAGAGGACATCCCCTTGCTAACCAATGAGAAGATTACAAAAGGATGTTCAAATTTAATTCTGAAGATTAATGTAAGGATACAGCTATGTAGCAAAACACAGCTGCTATTGCATTTTAGGAGGAAAGGAATAACACCATGTCCCTGGTATTACATATGACTTTTCTTTTTGTTGAGCCTATACCAGAAGGAACTTCTCATAAACTGAGAACTTAATCTCATTGAGAACAAGAGAGAGAGATTTTAAAGCTACATGATCAATGATCAAGATGACTCTTCAAAAACCTAAAGGTTATAACCATGTGGCATCAGGAGAAGAAAACCACTTTTTTTCCTCATTTGTAGGCCTCCTTTTGGGCTTTGAAAATGCTGGCTTTAAATTAAGACTTATCTTTCTCCAAAACTAAGCACCTGTTCATAGTTTTCTTGGAATATAATCATGAATTCCTACCTGAACCTCCGACAGACAATGTCCACTAATGTAACTTAATCATTAGTAATAATCACAATGTCTCACATTTTATTACTATGTACTCTAACATTTTTTATTTAGCTCCCCCAAACCAAAGTCTGGTGTTCCTTTCTGTTTTCTGATATTGGCCATAGGACACGCTTATATCTCTCCACTTTTCTTTTTGTAGTTTTTTTGTTTTTTGTTTTCCTGCCTTTCTGAAATCTATATTAGTTTGGCATCTTAAAAGCCCATTTATTTCTAATATTTACCATGTTTTATTTTGCTTCCATTTTTAATAATTCCCATCTTTCTCTCATTTAAATATCACATACAAGTAAAACAGGTTTCGGGGTGGGGAGGATGTCATTATTAAGAGAAAGAAATATAAACTTCTATGTTTACTATTGGCTAAATTTTATAAATGCAGAAAAAAGATTAAACTTAACCAAATGCCATAGTTTTGCCTAAAATTTTGGTAGTAACTATTAGGATCAATAACTCCAAGAGACTTTATATTTTATACTTTTCATAAATGAAATTATCTTTCATCAGAGTTTAACAATTTTATTCACAGTGCATCTCATTTGTTTCTACCTAAAAATAAAATGATGTATAAATACTTTGTTCAAATTGCCATACTTGCCAAGTTTTAAAGTATTCTGCAGTTAATACTTAATTATAAAAACATGTTCCAAATTAAGAAAAAGATACCCCAAAGATATTAACATTATTATTTTGCTATGCAGTAGAATGTACATTAAAAATTAATTTTTAAATAACTTTAAATAAATGTTAAATTTCTACATTTTAAAATTTTATAATTAGTCATATTTTTCTAATAATTGATTTAAAGTAATAGCAGAGGATAAAATTTTTTGATAAGCTTTCTTCACATTGTAAGTATGTAAACAATTTAATCTTCCACAGTTCCACAGTGGTCCTCTCTGATTACAAGTGATTAAAAGAAAGCAGTTATGTCTTACCTTATAAAGTTTGTCAAACAGGAACTAAAGACTGGTTACGGAAAGGCCAAAGCAAGGACCATCGTTGGGGACAGAGTTGGCTAGTGAATATATCTCTGTTCTGTGGGAAATAAAAATGGTCCTTGCTTTGGATCTTTTGCAATCTTTTATTCATGTTTATTAGACTAAGTTAAAGCAAGAGTGGTCAGGCATTTGGCCAGGGTGCAAGATTTGGGTGGGATCAGTAAGTAATTTAAAGGAACAGTGTCCTTTCGGAACAAATCTATGTTTTCCAGACTGTTTTAAAAACAGCTTGAGCAAATTTTTTACATTTTAGGCACTTACTGAGTCTGCCTTCTTTTCTTATGCTATGTTCTTCACTTTCTATTTTTACATTTCTTTGCCTGGGGTATGTGCTCTGTTAGATAGTAGTTCTAAACAGCTTTGTGAAGGACTATAAATGACTCCAGATTCAGATGCAAAACTGCAGTGTTTTCCAAGAGAGGCAATGGGTTGATAATGATTGAAACTGGATGATGAACATGTACAAGCTCATTATTCCAGTCTTTCTATATTTCTGGTTTTTGAAAGTTTTCATAATAAAAGGTTTGCACAATATATAGTGGAAGAGTGACCTAAATTTAGTCCCGGGTTCTCTCTGTAACATTGGGACCTCAGTTTTCCACTTATAAAAGGAGGCAGTGCATTCAATTATTGATCAAGATCCTTTCAAACTATAACATAAGAGATAGGTTTAAAAGGGTCAGTATTCTGAGGTTTCTATCCAGGAAAGGTGGTCCCTGTAGTGGTTCCATTCTCCCTTTTTCCTATTTTCTACCTTGTGGTTATAGCCCACATTAAGTCGATGTTTATCAACAATAAACATTTAACAATATTTATTGTAAAAAACATGAGCCAAGAGGCCACTTGACCCCTACACAACTAACAGGGAGGCTTCTCTAGGACAGTCTCCGAGATAGAGATTAGCAAGATGACTAGAGAAAGCAATATAATCGTTCGTGCTATAATTCTTTTAAATCAGCTTTCTTAGGAATACATGTTAGCATGTATGCATCTGCTTATTGTGACAATGGTTTCCATTGCATGAACACTTTGCCAAGCGAGGTACCACGCTAAGTGCTTGACACACATTATGGCATCCAGCCCTCCAAAAGCACAACCACCTACCTATAGTAAGTACTCTAAGAATTCACTTTTGCAGATGAGGATGTTGAAGTAGAAAGGAGTTCGGCCACTTGCCCAGTTATGCTAATACTAGAGAATGCCAGAATGGGATCTTAACTGGGGACTACCTGACCCCTGAGACTCACTTATAACCACTCTTGCATCATTAAATTAAGTGTCCAGGTGAATGCTTGGGCTTTCATCGTCTCCTCACCACAAAGCAGTTCTTAAGGAAGGAAGGGAGTTTTGTGGGGCTTTGGTAATAGAAAGAAGGAATAGTAGGTGTATTGCAGAAGTAAAATGGGATTTCCCAGGAAGTAAACATATATATTTATATATTTACACATATAGATTTTATTTTATTTTTTACATACTGAAAGGAAGGGAGAGGGAGAGAGAGATAGACACATCAATAATGAGAGAGAAGCATTGATCAACTGCCTCCTGCACACCCACTACTGGGGATCGAGCCCGCAACCAGGGCATATGCCCTTGACTTGACCAGAATCAAACCCAAGACCCTTCAGTCCCCAGGCTGATGCTCTACCCACTGAACCAAACCAGCTAGGGTCACATATAGATTTTAAATGGCCTGTGGACAATAGCCACATTTTGCACTTTTGTGAGATAAGAATCATGCTATAAAGAAGTGACATTTTTCAGAAGGTAGTTTAACTTTTCATGAGGTAGTTTAACAACTTGAAGAAGAATAGTGCCTCTAAGAAGCAAACAGGTGACTCCTGTGGGGGCGGAATGGAAGAAAGCCCTTCTGCTTTTTATCTGATGGATGGAGGGTTGGAGTCCTGCCTGCTCATCCATCAAATAGGATCACCTAAACCCAAGGTTTTCCACCTCTCGTTGCCAGGTGTAACAATGAGCACTAAATTGATTGGGTAGATGACACAAAAGAAAATCTTGTGTTCTATCGATTTATATCTGGCAATTAGCTTTGCACCTAGAGAAATGGTGCATTATGCTAAAGACTAAAATCTTAATCTTAATGGATGATCTTGAATTAGTGTGCAATTCGGCATGCACAGACCAAATAAGAGAGCATGGGTAGTGTTGATGACTAAAGAAAGGCAACTTGGGTGGAGTCCATGTTCTTTGGACAGTTGGTCTGAGCCATGGCTTTATAGAAGGCAGATAGTACACTATTTTTACGGTTACTCCTGGAGATGGATTAGAGTAAGCACCCCATGAATACATGTTGAATGAATGATTATTGGAAGTAATTTTTTAGTGTTCATTGATCACTTGAGAACCATGATACACCAGATTGCTCTCCTCCAAAGCACTGCTAAACAGCATCCTTTTCAATTAAAAAAAATGTTAATACTCTACCTAAGTAGAATCTATATTGGCTTTATTTCTTAAGTTGAATTTTGTTTATTTATTTATTTATTTTAATCCTCACCCAAGAATATTATTTCCTTTGAATTTTAGAGAGAGTGGAAGGAAGGAAGGGGGAAGAGAGAGAGAGAGAGAGAGAGAGACAGACAGAGACAGAGACATCAAAACATTGATGTGAGAGAGACACATCTTTGATTGCCTCGGGGGATCAAACCTGCAACCAGGTAACCTGCCCTTGACTGGGAATCAAACCTGAGACTCTTCAGTGCAAGGACCAATGTTCTAAATACAGGCCAGGGCTGTATTGGCTTCATTTTTTTGGGGACCAGTGCCAAGATCTCCATTTCAGTAGTGATGGTATTTGGGGGTCCTAGGATCATTTAAAAGGAATCAAAGTTTAGGGTGATTTGTATATATCAGAAGGTTTTATCTGCATGATGTTGCAGAAACAAATAAAAGGCTAGTAACATGTCAGTTTCAACTTGTATCACATAGGTCTAGACCGAGATCAAGGTACAGTGAAATGTTTCACAATCTTTCTTCCAATTCACCCACTTCCCATACTGCCTTTAGAGAATAGAAAAGAACCTTATCAAGAAGTGAGAAGAAAATGAAGCCTCTTACCTAGTTTGGTTTGCTGTCAGAAGTCCTCTTCTGTTTTGTTTTTGTTTTTTTCCAGTATAAAATCTTGGTGTAGTAGAATTTATAACATTTGCCCCAAAGCTCTGAAGTTTCTGGGATTTATTATCCTTCTTGTCTTTAAGAGTATAACTTGGACATTCTCTCATGTCATTCTTAAGGAAATTAAAGAAACACCAAAATGCTATTGGTCTTTTTTATGAACTTAGGAAAGGATGAAAAGCATTCAAAGACAATAGGGAAGTGGAACTTGTCATTGGGAATCAAATATAGAAAATGTGGCATTGCTTAAGTCTGGGGCAGCGTGACTCCAGTGCTCCACCCCTCACCAAATTCTGATGGAGTTGGCTCTTCCGCATTCCCTCTACTCAATTAGTTTTGTATTGTTTACTCCCTGATATGTCTTGCTTCATTGTTTGGCACTTGGTCCTGGGCTTGAAAAATTGTGCCACATATGCAACACCCTAAATCACAGTGACAGGGTAATTTCCATTGTACCAATCTTATGACTAGTAAAATCTTTCTCTAAGATTTTCCTTCATAATTGATATTTTATTCTGCGTTATTTATTCTTTACTAAGAGCAAATAATTTTATGCCAAAAAGACAGAGTGCCCTCTGGAAAAAAATTACAGTTTTCCTTTCTAAGAAATATCTGAAAGTGGATAGGTTTTGTTCTGTCATAGGTTTGAATGTTCGATTTTTTAAAAAAAATTATTATTTTCAGTCAGTGGATAGAGCAGTCAGGTTTTTCCTGCTGAGTTGTCCAAAAGAGAAAGATTAGATCTATTTAAGCTTGGACCAAATTCTACTTTTATTGAGGAAAGTATTTTTTTTTTTTTTAGTTGGCTTTACTTTCAGGTAATAGAAAGTTTTGTGCTCTATCTTAGTGCTTTATTTGATTGCCCACTAGATGGTATTTAACCTTTTCTTGTATTGGGGACAAATGATAGCATTGAATCTCAGAACTGGAGGGAAACTTAAATACCACTTTTGTTTGATTTGTCCATTTCACAGATAGCAAAATAGAGGGCAGATGTTGTGACCCACCCGAAGGTCATACCAGGGGTCAGTGAGGGAATAAAGTTTAGATGTTTGTGAGTCGGTTGGCCATCTTTCATTATTCCTAAATACCCCAGGAAGAAGCTAAGCCTTTGTACCATCCAGGTTTGTACCAGAGCAGGAGAACAACAATTGTTGGTCTGTGGCCAACAACTTATGTCTGAAAAATATGGCTTTTATTTCAGCCACGCTGGCCAGGCTAAAAATCTTTTAATGACATAAACCCCTACACAAATATAAGGTACTATTAGAATCATGGTTCATTGTTTATATCCAGAACTATAGATTTTGAAATTACACATGTATAATTTTACTTAATATATATAACATTTATTTAAGTATATATTTTCTATTATACTAAGTGATCAAATTCAGAAATGCCAGATATAACAAATCAGTGAGAACTGACATTGGGTAGTCTGGAACTATTGTTTGAAAAAAGATATTTGGGCACCACCTTGTGGGACTTTGTAGAAAGACACGGTGTCTTGTCTATGATCACTGACAGATTAAAATTCCTAATTGCCTCTGAACAGGTAGAGTGTAAGTTGCTTTCTGCAAATTCTCAGGGTAGGGAAATAATGAGATAAATGAAAGGAGTGACAAAACTACTTTTATATATGAATCAAGAAATGAAGTAACATCTGATGTAATCTGAAAATCATTCATTTAATAAACATTAATTTAGTTTCTACTATGGAGAGGCATTGGATAGAAAACAAATAAAATAAGATCCAGTCTCTTCAACCCAGTGGAGAAGATAGGCAAGTAAAAGGCAATGGCAAATTTTACCCCAAAAAATTTTTTTAGGTAATCAAATATCAAACTCTAGTTGATGGTACCATGCTGAAGTGTTTGGGAGCCAATTGTACTGGTGTCTGCAACTTACTTTGCAATGCATC